GGGAGGGGTCTGGACCGGCCGGACGTGCGGGCCGTTCTGCACCTAGGGATGCCCCCCAGCATTGAGAGCTACGTGCAGGCCGTGGGCCGGGCCGGCCGTGACGGGCAGCCTGCGCACTGCCACCTCTTTCTGCAGCCCCAGGTTGGCACCCCATCCATGCCTGCTGCACGGCCCTGGTGCCTGGCACCACCTCATGGCTGTCCTCTGCAGGGTGAGGACCTGCAGGAGCTGCGCAGGCACGTACACGCTGACGGGGCTGACTTCCTGGCCGTGAAGAAGCTGGTGCAGAGTGTGTTTCCCCCTTGTGCTTGCACACGGCTGCCCCAGGAGCAAGATGGAAGCCCGAGTGAGGACATTCCTGGGGCTGGGCTCGCTCAGGAGGCCTCACAGCACAACACCCAGCCAGCAGCTGCAGAGCTGGGATGGGCCTGCCCGGGCCACAATCGGGTGCTCCCCATGCAGCCGGTAGTGCAGGCCCTGGACATGCCAGAGGAGGGTGAGGGACCTGGGGAGTGCGTGGAGGGGGGTGGGGACCGCTCATGGGTCCGGAGCCCCACAGTGCCCCCAGCCATCGGAGGAGGGTGAGGGACCTGGGGAGCGCATGGGGACAGGGGACCACTTAGGGGCCCTGAGCCCAAAAACTGCCCCCAGCCATCGAGACCCTGCTGTGCTACCTGGAGCTGCACCCCCAGCGCTGGCTGGAGCTGCTGCCAGCCACCTATGCCCTATGCCACCTGCGCTGCCCTGGGGACCCTGCACAGCTACAGGCCCTGGCCCACAGGTGAGTGCAAGCCAGCCCGGATCAGGGCAGGGACAGGACTAGGGCTGCTGGTCACTTGCCTCCCCCTGGGCACAGGTATCCCCCTGTGGCTGTGTGCTTGGCCCAGCAGCCACCCAAGGGCGTGAGGCAGGGCAGCAGCTTCTTGGAGATCGACATGGCAAAGCTGGCAGACACCATGGGCTGGGAGCTGGCCTCAGTGCGGTGGGCTCTCCACCTGCTGCAGTGGGACCAGGAGCCCAGGACAGCCCTGCCCGCCCCGTCTTCACCCCATCCACCTGACAGGCCCCGAGCCAATACACGGCAAGATACAGGGGTGCTCGTGGAGTTCAGGGAACCGGCCTTCCACCTGCGCAGTCGCGGGGATCTGACAGCAGAGGAGAAGGATCAGATCTGTGACTTCCTATATAGCCGCGTGCAGACCCGGGAGCGCGAGGCCCTGGCCCGTCTGCACCAAACTTTCCAGGCCTTTCGCAGGTGGGAGAGGAGGTAGGTGGGGTCTGGGTGGTTTACTCAGTGGCAGCGCTAACAAGCTCTGCCCACCCCAGCGTGGCTTTCCCCAGCTGTGGGCCCTGCTTGGAGCAACCCAGTGAGGGCCACAGCACCAGGCTCAAGGCCCTGCTCAGACGCTACTTCGAGGAGGAGGAAGAGGGGCCCCAGGAGCCAGAGGCCCTGCAGGATGAGGAAGGCCCAGAGCCAGGGCAGGCCAGGGTGAGTGCCACCTACTCCAGAGCCTGCATAACGGCAGACTATACCCACACCTGGGCATGGGGGCTCGGGGCTGACACACCCATGCTCGCCTCAGCTCCAGGACTGGGAGGAGCAGGTCCGCCGTGACACCCGCCAGCTGCTGTCCCTGCGGCCAGAGGAGAGGTTCTCAGGCAGGGCCGTGGCCCGCATCTTCCACGGCATTGGTGAGGCCAGGGGCTCAGCCCAGTATGGGCGGCGCTGGGCTGAGCTGGGCAGGACAGGACAGCCAAGAGTGCGCACAGCTCCTGTCTCGGCCCCACAGGAAGCCCCTGCTACCCGGCCCAGGTGTACGGGCAGGATCGGCGCTTCTGGAGGAAGTACTTGCACCTGAGCTTCCACAGCCTAATGCAGCTGGCCACAGAGGAGCTCCTGCTACAGAGGCACTGACTGCCCTGCACAGGGCGGGCTGGGAGCAGGGCTGTGGTGCAGACTGCACCCCGAGTGGCCACTCAGGGCCAGAGGTGGCCATCAGCATCCAGACCAGTGGCTGGCACCCTGGACAGAGCCTGTCGGCAGGGGCTGGGAGGCCCCAGAGTAAAGCACTTTTGTAGTTCCTGTGGGCCCTCTTTTCTGTCAGCCACCCCGGGCTGACGACAGCACATCTCACACTCCAGTCACAGACAGGCAGTGTCACACTCAGCTTTATTGACCAGACTGGCCACCCAGCTCAGGCCAGTGTGCTGGGTGCTAGGCCCAGGCCCAGGAGGGGCATGGCTGAGAGGGCGAGCAGGAAGGAGAAGCAGGAGCATGGCCCCAGGCCATCGGCCAGGGCTCCAGCCAGGACACCCAGCAGCAGCTTGCCCAGCAGTTCCACAGTGGCCAGGAGGCTGTAGTGTGTGGCCTGGGTGGGGCGGGAAAGGTCAAGCCTGCCCAGCCCAGCACCCGGCCCTCATCCCTGGGTCTACCACCCTCCTCACCTGCAGGGTGCTGGGAGCCAGCTGGCTGCAGCGCATCATCAAGCTGAAGGTGATGGTGGTGATCCAGCCCCCCAGGAAGTGCTGCAGGCACAGGCTCAGCAGGGCAGCCCCTGGGGGAGAGCAGAGGTCAGCGGGGCCCAGGCACAGCCTGTACCCTCTCCTGCCAACCCCTCACCTCTAAGGATCCTGCAAGAACCCAGGCTGCTCTCTGGGGCATCCAGCTGGAAGAGCAGGGCAGTCTGGCAGGCCAGGCCCACAAGACGGAGCCTCAGCACCAACTTCAACAGGGGCAGTGGCCTCCTGAGGGCAGAACAGGCAGGTCAGGGAGGGGCGGAGCAGGGTTGCTGAGGTGAGGGGAGTGCTGGTGAGGGGCAGGCTCACCAGTACTTGGCCAGCAGGGTCCCGCCAAGTGAGGAGCCGGCGACAGAGCAGACCACAGCACCCACACCATTCCACAGGCCCAGTTCAGGGGCAGAAGCACCGCGGTCCAGTAGAAGGAGCGGGAACAAGCTGCTGGCTCCCTGCTCGCCTACGGGACAACCGTGAGCAGAGGCTGCCCCGCACTACCCCAGACTCCTCCCCAACAGGGCACCTGGACCCTGCTCTACCAGCAGGGCCCCTGCCCCACCTCTGCCTTCGGGGACAGATGGGACTGGGCCCCAGGGGACCATGGTTGCCCAGCTGCAGAGCCTGGGTGTCCCTGAAGCTCCTCGCCATCGCCCAGCCCAGGCCTCACTCACCCAGCTTGTAGATGAGCACAAAGCCTGCCGTCCACAGGGTCCCTGGCACCACGAGCAGATCCTGCAGGTGCGGCACCCTAGAACAGTGCTTGGAGGGCTGGGGCAGCTGTCGCAAGGCTGGGGCAGCCCAGGCCAGGGCAGCGGCCAGCCAGTAGGTGGCAGCCAGGAGCAAAAAGAGCCGGCGCCAAGAGAGGGCGGGGGAGAAGGCCAGCAGCCCGCCCCCAGCCAGCGCAGCCCCCAGCTTGTAAGCGACCACCTGCACGGTGTTGCCGGGCCCCAGCTCCGCCGGCTGGAGGAGCCGCCTCTTGGCTTTCTCAT